ACTTGAGCAGAAACATTTCAACATACACACAAATCCCCCGACTAATCATAAGACTGATTCTTAAGTCTTGCTATCAGACTAACGGTTGTGTTAAACAAATATAACAAATTAGTTAGAATGGTTGGCTTACAGTCGGTTGGGGCAGAAATTCCATCAACATAATCACCCATTAAAAAAGAAAAAAAAAGTATCCTTAAACACTGACCCTTCAGCTGCTCTTCCAGCTTATTCCTATGACCAACAGCTTTGGAAAGGAAACATGACTACATCGTCATATATCTAAATAACAGGCAGGACATACATAAATTCCATATTTGTAGCTACCTTTGCTACAGTTGGTGCATGACAAGTTGTTCCCCAGAGAAGCAGGAGCATTTTAATACAGGTTCTTCACCTGAGGTGTTTATCTTTTCCTTCAGCTGCTCCCTTTTGGGCTCAGAATTGTCACCTGCATCAATTTTATTCTATCACTAGTATCGTCTTCTGTCACCCCCCAACCCCTCTCATTACATCCATGAATGTTCTGAGGTCTTCCTCTTTTCCTTCTGCTTGGCAGTTCGATCATCATCCTCTGTATAATTTACCCACTATCCCTCCTCTGCACATGTCCAAACCATCTCAGCCGTCTCTCTGATGGACTCGTTTCTAAGCATCTGATTTTCATTCCTCTCCTGACACTCCTAACTTCCTAATACACATCTTGGCACCTTATCATATACTTTGTGTAGATCCACAATTACACAGTGAAGCTCCTTCAGAACTTCTCCATCAATATTTTCAAAGAAAATATCACATCTGTAGAGCCCTTTCTCAGCATGCTGCTGTTCACAACAACTCCTTCATATCTTCATTGTATGGCTCATCAACTGCACATCACATTCCTCTGGCACACTTACTCTCTGGGATTGTTTCCATCTGGTAAAAGTCCACTCCCTCTGTCCCATAAATCACCACAGATATGTGATCAAGACCACAGGCCCTTACCCTCTGTATCCTCTTCACAGTGATTTTTCTACACTTTCTAAATGAAACTGGTCTCCCAGAAAGCAGCATCACTACCTTAATGAAGGTAACCCAGCTCTGATGACGGTACATGAGGTATCCACCCAGTGACCATGGTAGCTGGCTTCGATCAATGTAGTTCTGGAGCTCTGGGATTTCTCTCAGAAGGACCCTCTACAAAATGTTTATAAAAGGAGATCAGAACTGCTCACTTACATTAAATCTAAACAAAGTCTGTGCATAACAGTTTGATATACTCACTTTGAAAGA